CCTCGCGCTATCGCAGACCCAGTTCCATGGTCCACACGTTTCAGGAAGAAAAGTGATGATGTTCGTAGAAACTCTGATAAACTTGACGCCAACACTGGCATCTTGTAGGTGAAGAGCAATTATTTGTTTCTCCACAACGAACATGATTCCATCAGAAGCTGTTCAATAGTTAAGAATAAGAACTTTCCAGGACTGAATTTACACATCGTCCGTCAACTTTTGCAAGTGGGCTCTGACTCTGCTGGGAAGACCTCACGCCGGGAAGCAGATGGAAAGGAACAAATGGCAGATGAAGCAGAATAGCTCTCAAGATGGTAGATTTCAGTCAAATTGTCATTCGTCACATCAGATGCGACCTTCCAGCCAGAACGACTCACGATGAAGGTCATGAGCTTGTACTGCAGGGCCTGGTTACCTGCACCCACAAGAAACACACCCTGAATATGAAGATGAAGGAGGGTTGATGGGGCGCCTGGGTGGCATAGTTGTTGAGGTGTCTGACTCTTGATTTCAGCTCAGGTCATGATCTCAAGGTTTGTGGGATTGAGTTCCAGTTTGGGCTTGGCGCTGACAGCATAGAGTCTGCTTGGCATTCTCTCTCTCTCTCTCTCTCTCTCTCTCTCAAAATAAATAAATAAACTTAAAAAATAAAGACAAAGACAGATTGAAAGAAAAATGAGGAAGACAGGCCTTGTAAACACAGAAGAAAGCAGGGTCGTGTTTTTAATACCAGAGGAGACTATGGACCAAGGAATATTCTTGGGGACACGGAAGCTCATACTGGTAATGATGTCAGTTCTCTCAGACCAAAAATAAACATCCGTGCAAGTCTGGCTGTCCACAGTGCCTTCCTCTCCCAGATGGGGCCTCAGCCAGTCGTCAGGCCCGAGGCTACCATCGTCTTGCTCTCCTCACGTGTCCGTGTTTCCTGAACTGTGTACGATGTGCTTTCCTCCTGTTTCCTGACTTGACATGAACAGAATTATACTGCATCATTTGGTGCTTTTCTTAGTTTGCAAATATGTTTTTAAGGCTCAGGATAGATCTAGAGTCTAGTTTCTTTACGCCTCTGTTTCTAGAGTATGAAATTGTTTTTGCACGAATTACAAATCTATTCTCTGATATGTCTGCATTTGAATTTTTGAATTGTTTTGATACGTGGCTCTTACAAACAATTCTGTCATTAAATTTAAACTCTATCTACCCATCCATCTATCATCTATCTATGGAAATAACCACAAATAAATACACAACTATACATAGATATATATATTAATTCACATATACATCTATATCTAGGCTACACTTAGAAGAGAAATTGCAACAGTGTAGGCATTTATTTTTACTAAATAATGCCAAGTAATTTTGCAAAGTGGTTGTATTTTACTTGCAAATGGATCTTACTATACCAAGTCTTCAATATTATTGGATTTTCCAATACATTTCCTGATTATCCACAAGAAACGAGGCCTCCACAACTACTCAGAGACTCTTTCTTATGTTTTTCTGGTCTGGTTCCTTTCCTAGACTTTTTATTTTTACCTCGAACCTTTCAGAGCTCTAAACCTAGTGACTTGCAGAAAACTCAAACTCACCATGGCCAGATTTGAACACAAGAGCCCCCTCATTACCTGGTATTTTCTCTCCCACTGCCTTTGAACTGTTGTCCAAGCCAGAAAGGTAGGAACTCTTCCATCTCCTCTTCCTGCACCCAAGATGCCTGGCCACTGGGGTGCCCTCTCCCCCCAGCCTGGAACACACCACGGACACTTCTGCACCCCAGCAAGTCCCTCTGTTCCCCACACGGGAGCCAAAGTGATGTCTGCCAAGTGGACCCCGGCCACCTACTTCCCCAGCCCATTACAGACACACCTGCTCCCCATTGTTCTCAGAATGCACGCACAAGTCCCGTTCATGACCTACGAGGTCTGGCTTCTGTTCATCGTTTCTTCTGTGGTTCCTGCCTCTGACCAGTCTGGTTTCCGTTGACTTCCTGCTGCCTGTTTTCCCAGCACAGGACCTCCGACTGTGCTCTTCCCTCCCCATCCAGCCTTCTCTCCTGCCCCCTTCACCTGAGGTCCTGGGCACACTTCTCAGGCTGGGCTTCTGGCCCCTCCTCATCCCCACAACTCTGTTCCTTTCCTTCGGGGCACACATCTCACGGGACAGTTACACGTTGGGGGGAGATTATTACTTAATGCGTGCTTAAACTGTTAACAGCACGACATCAGTCTGTCCATTTGTCGTGTTCTTAATGTGTGTTCTGAATGTGCTTCCTACCATGGGAAGGTGTTGGTCTGATCTCAAGGTGCATAAAAACCAACGCGAACACAAACACTGCCCTTGCAGGGTTACAAGCTGCTGAGAGAGATGCCTAATTTCCGGAGGGTGTGAAAGTGCCACCAGAGAAGCGCGGGTGCCGGGGTGGCCAGGGAGGACAGCGCCAGCCGCATGGAGGACTTCCCGGGTGAGGTGGACCTGAGGGGAGTTGTGAACTCTGTGTAGACACTGCAGGTCCAGGCGGAAGTGAGGGCAGTGCTGGACCAGACGGCAGCAAGTCGATGGCTCAGAAGATGAATGAGGGAGTGTCCGTGGACGTCACGTAGCTCAACAAGGCTAGGACTGGATGCAGACGGGAGAGCAGATGCACAGAGCAAGAGCTGGCAGAGGAGAGAACGTAGAATTCTAAATCAAATCGTGGAAACAGGAAAAAAAGGTCAGGAATTTACTGACAGCTCACGGTGATTCCTTGGCTTTGCCAGGCTCTCTGTTTGCAGCACATAATTTAATCGTCTTGGGAACTTATTCCGACCCCACAGCCTCTGGTTGGTGCAGGTCAGGGTCCTTCCATCCATCTGCAAACCTCCGGACCCCTCACGGAGCCGTCATCTTGGCAACGGCACTAACCAGACCACCACACAAGGCGGTGAGCAGTCAGGTCTAATTTGGCCTCAAGGGTGAAAGGATCTCAGACCCATAAAGTGAGGTGCAGTGTGAGCGAGTGCCATTTCGTGTGGTCATTTCCACACTGTGCCCCTGACAATGGAAGAGTCCAGATCCAGATCCAGATCGTCCACAGGAATGCCTCTCTCCACGGGCCATGCTGGGATTAGCACCTTCAGGGCTAAATCAGGAGTTGAGTCCTGGAGCCCCACCTTCTTCAGCAGAGTTTTGAAAGATCGCATGGATTGGGTCATCCATTTAACTAGTGCTTTGAGACAGATTCTGTGCAGGAAATGCCCTAAATTCCCCATGAGCAGGTCTGGACATGCAATTCCCTTTAAATAGGATCTTTTCTGTTTTTTCTCCTTCTCTGAGCCCAGACCCTCTGAGTCTTGGCTCCTTTGCCTTCCTCTTATCAATAAAGCGGCCTCCTCTTATCAATAAACTCTCAGCCTGGTGGCCTGAGAGCTTCTCGGCTCTCTTCCTTAAGCAATTGTCTTTGTCTAGCCTTCTGTAAGAATTACAGCTGAGAATGACGCTCAGAGGAAGAATTGGAACCATCAGACTTAGGAACGGATTTGCAGTGTGCCGTATCCCTCGTGTCGATCTCGCTCGTTGTTTGTAATGAAAAATTTTAACTGACTTTTTCAGAGGCCAACTTGGATTGCATTTTAATATTTTCCCCAGTCTGGTTTATTGTATTACATTTAGTTTATGTAGCATACAAGAATAATTCTGTTGCCGAAAGGATGATCTTACTACAGTTGGGCTACCATTTTTGAGGACTCTCAGGTGAAAGGCAGTATTTTCTATATGGTTTCCAAAGCGCTTTGTCCATGCAAGAAGAGGAGATGAACCCAACTTTTCCATCCAGAGAGAGATTAGAGGGCTCAGAGCGAAGGCACGAGAGGGCAAAGCTCTTCCTGCCCCGACCCATGTGCATGGGGGACCCGGAGCTGCGCTTCAGAGAACGACCAGCAGAGGGCACTGGACCCAAGATAAGAGGAGGGAGGATTCAAACCTGGAAGCATTTACTTAAGGGTAATTTACACTGATCTTTGCCAATGAGCGGGTATGCATCCTTTCAAAGCTGGAAATTACCATAATTCTTTATTTTTATTTATTCATTTTAATGTTTATTTTTGAGACAGAGAGAGAGAGAGACAGAGACCGAATATAGGCAGGGAGGGGCAGAGAGAGAGGGAGACACACAATCCGAAGCGGGTTCCAGGCTCCCAGCTGTCCGCACAGAGCCCGACGCGGGGCCGACGCGGGGCTCGAACTCAGAAACTGTGAGGTCATGACCTGAGCCCAAGTCGGAGGCTTCGCAGACCGAGCCCCCCAGGCGCCCCTCTTTACTCTTTTTAAACATGTTTGAATAGCGGCTACTAAATACCGGCTTCAATTTGTTTTTATGATAAAGTTGCAGGTAGAGGAAAAAATCACATTTGCATTTTTTTTTGTATTGTAAGTACGGATTTCTGTAAAGAGTTAAAAACAAACCCCACAAATTGATATTTTCCCAGGAACAGTATACGCGTGTGTTGGATGGAGGCTTAAAAATGCTGTGATCCGCCCGGAGCCACGGAAATAGAGGGGCAGCGGGACACGCAGGGAGGTGCGGGGCGAGCGCGGCCGCCCAGGGGCGCCCGGCGGTCAGGCCTGGGCGGGGGCCCGGGGGGCGGGGGGCTGCAGAAAACTCCCGTCCCTTTCCCGGGCTCCGGCGGTTACTAGTTAGCAGTTATCACTGGTGTCTGTGTGGTCGACGGACGCCGTGGGAGGGGCCCGATGCGCCCCCGCCCCGCAGGCCCGGGGCCGGGGAGCTGTTCCTGCGGGTGCCGCTCGGGCTGGCGCTGGCGCCCGTGCGCATGCGCGTGGCCGGGGTGGGGCGGTCAGCCCGCTGTCCCTGCGGAGGGGGGGGCTGCTGCTCGAGCTAGTGTTGGCGCTGGTGCGCATGCGCGCGTGGTCAGCCCGCTGTCCCTGCGGGGGGCGGGGGGGCGGGTGCTGCTCGGGCTGGCGCTGGCGCCGGTGCGCATGCGCGTGGCCCGGGGCGCCGGGCCCGACCAGGTCTTCCCCGAAGGCTGGCGGCAGGTGGATCGGCCAAGGGCGCACAGGCGGAAACCACGTGGCACGTGCAGGCGCACGAGGTAGGGAAGTTTCCGGCGTGTTCTCCAGTTAACACTGGTTTCTCACTCCCAGCCCTGGTGACTCCGTGTAGACGCCTTGGACCGCGGAGGCCTGCGGAAGAAGGATATACGACTCAGGTGTGACTTCCGCACCGGTTACGCTCTTAAATGTGTTCCGTCTGCCGCGCCTCTCTGGGTCTTTCCTGTTGAGCTTGATTTATTTATTTATTTACTTATCTATTTATTTATATTTTTGAGAGAGACAGGGCGCGAGCGGGGGAGGGGCAGGGAGAGGGAGACAGAATCCGAAGCAGGTTCCAGGCTCCGAGCTGTCGCCCCACGCGGGGCTCGAACTCACGAGCCCTGAGATCATGACCTGGGCCGAAGCCAGACGGTCAGCCGACTGAGCCACGCAGAGACCCCAGGTGATTTCTATTTCTTCGGTCTGACAATACAGGCCTTGGCCTTCACGTGGGCGGACACCGCCCAGACGTCTCCGCCTCCCTTCTCGGAGCCGGTACTGGGGAAGGGTGCGTGGCCGGGAGCAGCCGTGTCAGGCCAGGAGCCCGCCCCATCGGCTTCACTGTTTGCAGCGCCCGCGTCTTGCTCGGGACCTTGGACTCCTAGTGCTCATCCTTCCAGAGAGGAGGCCAAGTGCTTCCTTATCACAGGGGTTTTGGTTCAGTTATGACATAGCGTGTATAAACTGTCCGTATAACGGGACTGTCCTCCCTAAATTCCCATGCTCTGTTTCTTCCTCTGGACAACACAGGGTAAAATTCAGACCCACCCTAAAGTAACAAAAGCAAATGTCTTTCTAGTAAGTTAAATCTATGTCACAGGTGCCTTCTACACAGTGCAAGCGGAGCAAGAAGTTTCTTGATGAGGGTGGGGCTGAGACTCGCCAGTGCGGCGCTGTAACGGAGAGAGACAGTCTGCAGTTATACGGCGCATTATTCATTACTCGTTCTAATGAGTTCCTTTGGGACATTTTATCTGCAATATGTAACAATTCACCTGCATTCCATTAAAGAATTTCAAACAAGGTCACCCCATGGAAACGCCAGAAGCCTCACGGACTTCGGCTGGGAGACACGGGATGCTCGCCTCATTCCCGCTGGAAATGGACCTTAAAGGCACAGGCAAGAGAACTTTAAAAACCCACACGAGTGGAAGAAACCAGGAGAGATTTCTGAGTAAATGCTGCACAAAGAAAAAAGGCCTTGAGAAGGATCGCATGGGGGGTTTTAGTGCGCTATCTTGGCAAACAGCACCTTCAGATTCATGTCCACCCAGAAGGCTGGAATGTGACCCGATTAGGGCTTAGGGTCCCTGCAGATGTAATTGAGATTAGGGTGGGCCCCAATCTAATGGCGGCGTCCTCATCAGAGAGGACACGCAGACACACGGGGCAGAGGCAGAGGCAGGGACCAGCTGTGCAGCAGCCTGAGCTCCCAGAGGCAGGGAGAGGGGACGAGTGGACTCTTCCTCCGAGCCTCCAAGAGGAGCGAGCCTTTGGACACCTTGATTCAGACCTGTGGCCTCCTGAACCACGAGAGAACAGATTTCCACTGTGTCAGCCACGTGGTCTGTGGTTTCTGTTAGGCAGGCGCAGGCCTCTCATGGGGGCTCTGCTGGGGGGCTGGGGGCCATGGGCTCCTTGTCGGCCGTGAGCCCAGTGAACTGGCGAAGATGAGCCTCGTGTGTTCCACACAGAAAATGTTTCAACAGTCACAGCCGAGGAGGCCAGAGGAGGAAAACCACTCGGCTTTAGCATTTCTCTGTGGGCACAGGGAGGTCCTCTTTGGCCAGACTCTGTTCTGGAAAACACTGCTGCATTCTGTTGGCATCCATGGGGTGAGAGCATTTTGACCTGAAGATAATGTTTATGATATGAGTCGTCTAATTAGTTTTTGTTCTTTGGTTCTCTATAATAAAGTTATTTCGAAAATGACATCCTTGCTATCCTAAGGAAAAAAAAAAGGGCTGTGTATTTCCCCACTTGTATTCAGACTAGAGGTGAAAGTGCAGTGGCCAGAGAGTGAGTCCGTGCACGCTGAGCAGGGAGAAGCAAACATTCCGGGGCTGAGATGTGCCTCCTCTGCCCTCCGTCTGTTGCTCCCCCAGCACACGCTCCATCACACGATTGCGATTTCTGGAGAGTTTTCTTCCTGTGGTTAGACAATCACACACGAGCCTTCTGATACGCAGTAGTGCTGTGTCTTATAATTAGGAAGGAGAGAAGGAAATACCCAGGTAGCTAGGAATGAGCTGTGTTTTAAAACTCATGCCATGTTAGCACTGAACTCGTGCCATGTTAGTAGCCAGTCGAATCCCTTGCTTCCACGGTGGGTAGTTGGGAGACGGTGAGTTCTTCCATCTGTCGCCATTACAAAGATGGCCGCATGACTGGCAATTCACAGAAACAGTAAATCCCTCCATAAAATCAGTGAGTAGGCTGCATTCGTGAACTTCTGTGTTTGAGGGGGAAACTGGATATTTTATATAAGACACACAAGTACAAGAATCAATAAACAGCCACAGCGGCTGAAGGATGACCTGGGAGCTAGTCCCCAGTGACCAGCAACATCTGCAGAGCCGGATGGGGGTTGCTGAGCACGGGGGAGAGAGTTTTCAGGAAACGTAGAAGGAAATGGCTTCGTCATGGGTTACGTATGGATTTTAAATGGTTTGGTTTTTTTCTGTTAGTAAGTAGAGCCCGTGTTTGGGATGTTGGAGACAGCGGGAGACGTGTCTTTTCCTAGAGTGAGTGCTCAGAACCTTTGTTCAGGACTGTCCCATTCCACGGGTCACTTGGCTTCTCTTCAGCTCCATTGTATGGATGCTGTCTCGTTTCTGTCCTTGCTTGGCTGAAGCTGTGAACGCCCCTCGAGACGTCAGCTCAGCCCAGCTGGGAAGACGTTCTTCCAGTGCTGTGCCCTTGGCGCGGCTGGCCCAGGCCTTCCTCCAGCTCGGGCAGGCTCGCAAGTCACTCCACGGCGATGGCGGTGAGGACACTCACACACCACCCTGGCTTCGCCGAATACTCTTACTCTTACCGAGTTCTAATCAAAATTCCTCAAACCAAAGCTATAATATTGGCCCAGAATCATAGAAGGAATTGTAACAACGTGAGCAAGAGCAGATTGAATGGATTCAGGGGCTTGTTGGGTTAGAATCACAGTTCTTGGCTCAAGGAGGCCGGTAAGAGCCCTCAGCCATCAACCCAGCGGGGCTCCTGGCGGACACTGGGGCATGCGCACCCCAGCCCTCGGAAGTGCCCGTGCACCGTGGAGCTGGCCAGGTGCACGGGCCATTCTGTGCCGTACCCGTGAGGGCGCCCATGTGCCCAGAGTGCCCTGGAAGGGTCTTGGCGGCAGGTGCAGCCCCGAGAAAACTCCCTATAGACTGCTCTCTGCACCTGTTGTGTGAGGCCCAGCTAGCAGGCACACCTGGGCACACTCTGCTCCCCAAGATAGATGCTCGTTCTTCATGGTGTCTCCCACAGCGCACGTTTGTGCTTCTGTACACGGTGATTTATTTTTACCTCTGCTTGCGAGGCCGTAGACCTGTGTTCCTTCAGTAACTGCTCCAGGACCACGTAAAGCAGTGGCTGAACAGTCAGCTTTAGAACTGAGCAGGATACTAACACTAACTTCCTTGCTCTACAGAGAAGTGAGGTCCGGAGCGGGAAGGGGTTTCCCAGGGCCAGCGGACTGATCACCAAGTGGGGCCAAGTGGGGCCGAAGCTCGGGCCAGCTCATGAGACCTCGCAGGGAAGACCAGGCGCGTGAGTGATTACATCTCCACCGTGACTTTCCCGCCCTAAACCCAGAGTTAGGGCGCTTGCCAGGACTGGTGAACTGAAGTACAGAAATGGAACTACATAAAGTAAAATGAACAAATAAGTGTAAAATTAAAAGGTAAAGCTGCTGCGGCAGAGAAATGTAATTCAGTAAGAGTGGAATGGGAAACTTCAGTGTTCCCCAAAGTATATCTAAAGATCTTTATAATTAATCTTTATCCCCCATATGCTGTTTTCTCCATCAACCTCAGAAAATGCATTTAACTTGTCTTTTTTTCTTTTAAATTTCGGAGTGGCCCCTCCCATCCTGTCTAACCTTTGGGGAATCACGGGAGGATCCCTAATATTTCCAGGGAGGCCGATGGAGAGGGCACCACACAGTAGGCTCTGTCCACCCAGGAGGAAAGACTTCATCCCAAACCTCGTAACAATATCTGTGACACGATTAGGGACTTCTACTGAGGCTGCTACCCTCAAAGTGTTATTAAAACATACATTCTCCCAAACCACAAAGAGAAGGCCGGCGGTGATGCCCCCACCACGTCCATGTGGGTCTCCATCCAAAGTGCCCCCACGCCCCACACAAAGCCCCATTCCAGACCCCGTGCTACCCAGTCCCCCTCCCCAAAAGCTCCCCAGGAAAGGATCTCGTGTAGTGTTAGGCTTCAGACCTCCTTGGCTTATCTGGTAGCCTGTCTGGCCAAGAGCGTTGCTTTAATGCATTTGTTCTGCGATAATAATATGGACCAGCAGGCAAGAGAGTGATTAGCTGTATTTGTTTTGCATAATGACAATTATTTTAAATTGGGTGTTGGGCATTTTTTCATTAGACTTGCTTACTGTGAACAAAAGGGAAGATATACTGTGTGACATCAGCTACTTTAAACACACCACAAATAATAACGCAGGCCCTGATGAAATGAGCGTGTCACAGCCCCAGACATTCTTGTCTGAACTACGGGAGGGAGTGACCGCCTCATGCCTGAAACAGGAATGTGACGCTGCCTCATAGCATGTCGGACGTGGCGTGTGGCACCGGGAAACCTTACATACGTTTGCGGGTGGAGATGGTCCGGAGCGTGCGTCCGCCGTGTAACTCCATCACACTGCCCATTATGGGAATGAGATGTGAAAAATAATTTCCGGTATCTCGGGGCATCACAGCGCTAAGTGGATTGCTGGCTCCGGCCCCTGGAAAATAATAAGGTGAGGTGACCTGCGCAGCCGCGTTGGTCAGGATGCCCGGGCAGTCTCACGCCCAGCCCACATGGAGCATTGCAGGGAAAGCAACGTTCCGCATGCGAGAAAACAAAGTGTAATGAGTCCTCGTTACAATATCGTGTTTTAAGTGGAAGCTTTTAGCTCTTCAAAATTATGCCCACTAATTAGAGGCGTGTGATCTTCTGCTACCTCCCAGCTATAAATTATAATATATATTAATAGTTACAGGAACTCCACCTGTGATACAGCTCTTATGCAAACAGTAATAGTTGGTATGTCATTGGAGCATATCGGCAATTAATTCTCAAAATGATCAATGGGAAGAATGTCCTTTCCCCCCATATCTGGTTTATTTATGTGCTCTCATTAATTACACCTAATTTTCTGTTGGCACTTTTCTTCCTAATGTAATTCAATTTAAGCATATCTTTCTAGAGACTTATTAATAGGTAGGGTCATTTATATTGTGTAGCACAAATATTTTATAATCCACTAATCTTGACAAAAAGGCAATGCCTTCCTCATAAAAAATGCATGAGGAGTAATGGTCCCCTATTAATAACTTATTAGGTCAGATCACACAGTTTGAAGTGTCTGTTACATCTTAATTTTATCAGATTTCTTCCTCTGGAATTTGCCACACTTTCTTTACCTTTTGATTTCGATCGCTCTTAGCGTCACCCTGCCTCTGTGCCCCACCCCCCCGCCCCAGTCCTCTGTGGCTTTGCAGCTGGAGAGGCGGGTGAAGGTCTGTTGGACACGTGCCCACGGGGTCCTCATGGAACGAGGCGGCCCTGTTTGTCTTCAAGCGTCCTCTCTTCCGTGTAATAGACATTCATAATCAGCGGATCCTTACTTGTTTTGGCTCACACACACTTTCAAAAGTCTCATGGCGGCAACAGAATCGGACCTCGGGAACACATTCTCACACGGACTGTTCCAGTCTAATTCCAGAGGATGTATAGAAATCTCGAAATTAATCCATGAACTTCATAGGAATCAGAGAAACACAGTCCAGGACCTTCAGTTAAAATTCGCCGTATGTTCATTATACAGAGATACGTTGACTTGTAACCAACTAACTCGGATAAACACAGCTTTCTAGAAGCTGCCTGTCATTGCTATGGTTGGATGCAACTGCGTTTGATTTGCCCTTTTAGTCTATGGCCTTACCACCCTGAATGTGCCCAATCTCGTCTGATTGGCCCTTTTATATTCCTCGACCCAGACATAAAAACATTTCCATTGATTTGTAGAGGCTTTCTTTCCCGAGGTCCTGTGGAGATAATTCGCCGCAGCCTGCCCTCAAGTAACCGTCTAGAGAGAAGCAGGACAGATGTTCGTAGGCAGGACAATCACACTTAACCAGACTTCTGTCTCCTCGTCTGTAAAGTGAGGGCGTGAACAGACTTGTTTAAAAGGCCCCTTGCAACTCCTGAGTTTTCGTGGCAATGGACCCGATCAAATGATATGAATGTTTAAAAGGCAAAAAACTATACAACTCATAAGAGTGTTCCGGTGGGTGGACGTAGGTAGAAATAATTTACGTGAGAGGCGACCCAGGCCATCTCAGAGGAGACCGAAGTCCTGCCCCGAGCTGTCGCCTGGCTGACAGGTGGCCTAGGTGGTTTTGCTCAAATGACATCTTCACTGGTAGGCATGTGCTTTACGAGCTAACCACTCTGGGGGCGCCTGGGGGCTCATTTGGTTGAGTCTCTGACTTCACCTCAGGTCATGATCTTGCAGTTCATGAGTTCAAGCCCTGTGTCAGGCTCTGTGCTGACAGCTTGGAGCCTGGAGCCTTTCTTCGGATTCTGTGTCTCCCTCTTTCTCTTCCCCTTCCCTCTTTTCTCTCTCCTTCTCTCAAAAATTAATATTAAAAAAAAAGAGCCAAATTCTTTTGAAGATGTACTTGGATGAGGTTATTACCAACTTCAGCCGTCTTTCAGGCTTCGATAATAATGAAAGGTTAACAAGAACGCCCAAGTCAGGTTAAAATGAAAATATCACATCTGTGCATATAACTAATAGCTCTTTCTGGAGCACTGTCAATGGGAGAGGAAGACATGTATGCAACTTCCTTATGAAAATGAATTCAACTTACACCATCACAAAATTAGATCTGATTTTTAACAAAAATCATTAGCCAGAGTTTACCTTGAGACGAAATCCCCTATGTTTCAGAGATTTTTACTTTTGCTTATTTTTATATTTGTCTAGCGTGTTTATTATTTTTATTTTTATCATAAATATCAGCATCTCCCTACAAATCTGATGGTGTTGTGAAGATTCATTTGAATGAAAGAAATGTGGATAATGTTATATTAGGTAACAGTGCTGTTTTATTCATTGTATACCCATTCAGTTGGGTGTGAGTGAGTGTAAGTGTGTGAGTATGCATATGAGTGTGTGTGTGTATTTTTTCCCCAAATACTTCTGAAGTTCATCATTGGGCATCATTTTTAGTAGATTGATGCACCTACTAAAATTTAATTCCTTTGGATTCTGCTCAGAATTGCTTCCAGTGAACATGTGCTTGACATGCAAGCCCCGTGCTGGGTCCAGGAGGTACAGATGCGAAGAGAAATCCGGCAACACAGGCTCTGAGACCCGAGACGAGGACAGGGAAGGCGGCTCAGATGCTCATACTACACGTTGAGTCCTTGCAGGTGACATCCATCCATCTCTCCATTACACCATGAGGTTAGAAGCTCCCTTGCTGTGGGTTTGGAAAGGGATTCGTATGGGGTCAGATAATTTACTCAACTTCACACAGATAATAAATAATGAAGCCAGAGTTGAAACCAAGATCTGCCCTGATTGAATGATCCTACTCCCTTTAAAAAATAAATAGAATAAGTAAATAGCCGTAGAGACAATAATCCACAAGTGAATGGCAAGAGGGTTGTTTCGATAGTTCCTCTAGTAGATTATGAGGAGAGACTGCCATGGGCTAAAATGTTCAGAGCACGCTTCATGCAGAAGGCTAGTCCCAGAGAAGCATCCACGCAGGTAGAAGATGTTTTCCCTCCTTTGGTGAATGTGCTTTGCATTTAATTTTAAGACTATAACATGTTTCACTCATACAATGGCAACTGTAGTATCCATTTGATAATGTTTTTATTGTATTATTGAAGGGTAGTTGACACTATGGTATTACGCTGGTTTCAGGCTTACAAGGGAGTGATTCAGCGAATGTACACAGTGCTCACCACAGAGTAGTCACCGTCTGTGACCACACAATGCTCACAATGCTATCACGGTATTATTGTCTGCATTCCCTAGACTGTACTTTTCCCCCCGTGGCGTATTTATTTTATCACTGGAAGTGATATTCCCCTATTTTGCCCATCCCTCTCTTCCCTCCCCTTTACTCTATGTGTTTAAGATCCATTGTTAGTTTGTTTGTTTGTTTTTATTTTGTAGATTCCATGTGTAAATGAAATCCTATGGTATCTGTCTTTCTCTGTTGGAATTATTTCACTTAGCATAACACCTTCTAGGTCCATCCATGTCACAAATGCAAGATTTCATTCTGTCGTGATGAGTAATACTCCACTGTGCACATGTACAGTGTCTTTATCCACTTATGTATTGATGGGACTTGGCTGAGTAAAAGGAGATAGCATCGCATTAGGTCCATTCTGGGGCAAGTGAATGGCTTCCTTCGGAAACAATGAAATAAGGGTGCCATGCTTTCAGAGGACGTTGAGCACTGAGCTGAGACAGGTAACGTTTTCCCTGTAGGAACTTAGTCTTACAGGGTTTTTTTCAACCAGGTTATTATGTGGTCATACCGTGACACGAAGGGGGATTCATCTCTGGTGATCCTCAGAAGGAACCAGAAAGTAGTTGAGATGACATTCAGAGAGCAGACGCAGGGATCCATGGAAGACCGGGCGTGGCCGATCACAGCCCCCGGGGAAAGGACTTGGCACCTGGAAACGCAGAGAATGAACAGCCCAGTTGGTGCTGAGCAGGGGACAAGGGCCATGGGAAAGGGGGCTCACAGCTGATTCGACTTGGTATCTGTGTGGCTGATGGGAAGTTGAAACTTCTCCAGAAATTAAGTGATTTGGAAAAATCATTGACGTTCAGGAGAGGATGAAGGGTCCAGATTTGATACATGGAGGCTGTGAACCTCAGGCACAGGGACCTGACCTCAGAGTAGGCTTCCCGGGTCTCCGGGCCTCCCGGGGGGGGGGGGGGGACCCTGATTTGGCACTCCCCTGCCCTGAGGTGATAGTGTAAACCTTCAGGATGGGAGGCTTCTCTCCCACCAAGACAGGGGAACCTGGGGGCACCACCAAGGCCTGGAGAACTAGACGGGGTTGGGGGTAAGCAGGGGAGTGGGCTGCGGGCCCCACCCCCGAGAGGGTGTCCGCAGGGAGGTGCCCGCAGCAGGGTGCACGGCCCGAGCTAGCAGGGCTAGAAAGAAGCAGAGAGGTGTAGGAGTTGAGAAGGACCGCTAATATGCTCCCCCTGTGCTCTGGCGACCTGTGGGCGGAAATTTTAAGAGAAAGACAGAGAGCCAGGCTGCAGGGAGTTGGGGGCCCTCGGCTGGTGTGGGAATGGAAACAGTGGGCTTGGCCCTGTGTCTGAGGCAACTGCTGGCCAAGCAAAGAGCAAGAGTAGCCATGGCAGCAAGGGTCAGTAGGGGTGGGAAGATGGGCTCCCTCTACTCTCCCCGAGTCTGGAAGATGGAGCTTTGAAGGCAGATGTAAAACTAAACGGGACGGAACTGGAGAACCAGTACTCAACATCGTGCAAATACTGAAGGCGCAAGAGTGTGTGGAGGAGAAAGGGTAGATGGACGTCTTAGCCTTTGACACACAGACAGTGTTCTACCAAGGCCGATGAAAGGACTAAACGCCCTGGCTGGTGCCTAGTGACTGTCTCGCAGAGGGAGGGTGATTGCAGTGTCCAGCGTGGTTACCTGTCCTCTGGGTAGTGCAGCCAGAGCCCTCAGCAGAGAGCGAGAGGGAGAAGAACGTGCCAGAGTTCAGCACAGACCTACTGTGTGCCGAGCAGAGAGGGCCCATGTTGGATTCGTTATGCCTCCTGCGGTTAGAGGGCCCTTGCCCTGGAGGCGTCGAGGACCACTGTGCTCAGTGCATTTGTCAGCAGGGTTCCAGCGAGGCACCATCCAGATGGGGACCGAGAGCTGAGATACTAAATGCTGGCCGATTGCTAGGGCATTGATTTAGTAAACAGGACAAAAGTCAAGTGGGCCCAGGAGTCTAGGACCTTATCTGGGATATTATTTAAGTAGTTGATTACAACATCTGATTGGTGAAGAATCTATTACTTTTAGTGAGTGCTTTAGAGTTTATAAAGCACTTATATATCCTTTATCTCAGAAAGTCAAATGTAACTATAAAGAGGCTAATAGGCTGAGTGAAGTCAGCGGGATTTGGTAATTTGAGATCACGGTGAAAACAGAATGGATTCCTAAGATGAGTCAATTACGGGGCTGTGCTCAGAGATGGGAAGCCTTGAGTTTGAGGTTGTGGGTGGACTGATTAATCCAACTCTGAACCCGCAGGCAGACTGGCCAAGACCCAGGTTTTACAGGTCGTGGAAGTTACCTGCAGCTGAGGAAAGGTTCACCCGCCCAGTCGGAGGCATGCACCCTGGGGAGACACCAGAACCCCTAGCGGGGTGCACACTGACCGTCCTCAGATGCTAAGTGTGGGTGTGTGCGTGAGGGTGAGGCCCAGGCAGCAAACTCCCCACAGGATCCCGTGTCGACTGGAGACGCGGGCGCAAGGCCACGTTGTGGGTCCGTCACAGAGTACTCTGGGTGCCGGGTACTCCCTGCATGTCCCCAGGCAGCTCCATGGTCCAGGACCAGCATGGAGCCGCCCCGGTTGGGCCCCTCCAAGAGCGTCTGACGCCCTACGTGTCTTCCCCAGCGGCGGGGGGGGGGGGGGGGCAGGGCAGGGACAGCAGGGGACCTTACAGGAGAGGAAGGGACAGTGTGACTGGCTGGCGGAATTTACGCAAACACCGACTCACCCGCACGATCCTATTACAGGTTGAAATGGGCTCCGATGCATGATCCTGTCTTCTTTAGCTCTGCTCTTGTCCATGTTTCTAGTCTGAAGAGAGACATGTTAATGTTTACCTCCTTGGATTGTTCAAGTAATCATCACATTGAAAGAGCAGGAAAGAAAAGGTGAGAAATAACTCCGGAGTGCAGAGAGGCGCCCCGTGAAGTGAAGAGGAAATTGCACGGGGCCGACAGAAGACGTGCAGGATGGCCCTCCACCTCAACGACTGTCACCGTGACTTTCCAAATCCATGAATCTTTTCATTCAAACTAATAATCGTGAAGGGGTCCCTGACTCCTGATCACATCATTCCTGAACGTGTTTACCATGGAAAGAGGTAAACTCCTCATTAAGAGGCTCATTCTGGGGTTTTTAAAAACACATATATTTTAAATTAAATTTTGAAAACAGGGGTTGAAAATACATAAAGTCACTTCCTCAAATGTTAGGGCCGGGGTACAGTAATTTTCCTAATAATTTTCACACGATTAATAATCTTACCAGGTTGATCTACACATCTACCGATTTTTTGCGGATTTCCACTACAGGGACTTTTGACTCGAATGCATGCACACGGTAAAATAAAATGCAGAACCGTAGGCCAGATCTGTCACCGCTGGAGAAGGGTCTCTCCCCTCCGGCACGCTGCTTCCCCCAAGCAGGGCACACGGTGCGGAAATTCTCCGCAATAATGTGTGCTCCGTTACGAAATCCCAGGCTTGGTGTTCCGGCGAGTGAACTACATCAGCAAAACATGGTTCCTCTTGCGGCTCCCCGGCCCCCTCCACCCCGTTGTGACTCCGTCCCAGTGATCGGACCCTGGCAGGCATCAGAATATCATTCTAGGAGATGTCACCTCTTCATCCCTATTGTAAGAACATCTAACAGAAAACGTAAACAACGAGCTGGAAATGATGCCGCGAAATGGCCCTCCTACGACACGGTAGGTGGAACAAAAATCCCTTTTTTGGCGTCTGCACCACCAGCAGCTGCAGGCTGATGCACTTGGCTTTCTGTTAAATAGAGGCTGGAACATAAAAATAGACACTGGCATTTATTGGAAGCCCAGCCCTGCTGAAGTTTTGCAGATTTAGAAAGTTCACTAATCGGCATCAATTAAAACCTCTGCCTTGCTGTTGCATGAATTATTCACCATGCTGCACACAATAGCAGGGCTCTCAGAAATATTTATTGCAGCCAAATGGCAGAAGTGGTGACATTCAAACTGATAAAGATAAAAACAGTGTTTCGATTGGTAAATACAAAGAAAGTAGGTATTCGAGCACGCTTGCCGTGACATCGTGAGCCACGATGGACGCACAGGCATTGCAGAAACATTTCTGACCCTGATGCACTTGTAACAAATTTGATGAGGGTTTCTTTGAGTCTTTGCTTTAAAAATCAAAGAAAATATGACTCAGATCAAAATGCAGGACATCACAGCCATAGATATGCAAAGGGAGGCACACATGCTTGTAAACACGCGGGTCTGATTGTGTAAGTGATTGCACGCTGATCACCGCTATTTGTGTAGTCTGCGTGTTTTACCAAAGTTAGAAAGATCGGAACCATATGCTCTTTCTGAATCTGAGAATTACTGCTGTTACATTTGTGGTTACTTTCAGCCCTGTGTCTGCTTTGGCCACCATTCCATGAGTGACCACACCGCCGGCTGCTGTCTGGGATCCGCACCTTCACCCCGTCACCACCGAGGCTCGGTCCTGGGCGCCCCGTGGGGAAGAGCCCCAGGCCAGTACCATCCGAGGACGTGGCTCAGAGCGGCCCACATGGCATCGCACCTGCTTCGCAGTCGGAAGCTCAGGGATCGCCATTTCCTTAACCTTTGAGCCCCCCAGCACCAGGGAGTGGCTAAGAATTGCTCCAAAGGGGGAAAGGCAAATGGAAGAAGGCGTTCAACAATGATAACAGCGCTGTCATTAAAGATTGATGAAGACTCAATTAGAGTCCGTTCCCAATCTGGAGCGACTCAGGCCAGCTCTGCCTCTCATGATCTGGAGCTCAGCAATAAAGATAAAAGGTCATTACCATCTATTGACTTCAATCATGACAAGTGCATTCACCTGATGGGGGCATGTATTACATACAAAAAACTAAATTAAAATAACATTAGGGGCTGGCTCAAATTCACATGAAAAAGGAAATGTAAAATGAAGGACAGAACAAATCACAGGCTAGGAATAATTTGATTTATAGTTCTTTTTTTTCTTTTTTGCACAAAAATACTCTGTTACTCACCATGATTGACCCTCAGAGACCTTTGAGGAAGGCTGTGCTGTCTTATTAAACAATCTCGTACTTCAGTAAAATAATGCTACTATCTCAAATCTAAGATTAGACTTAAAGGCATACCATCTACCAAAACAATTCAGTAATTCTTGTCTCAGCCTAAATAGCCACATACAACTATGAAAATACATGGCAAACATTTTCATTTTGTAAATTTTAAGAATAGTGTTGAAGCTTATGTAGAAAGAAGATAAAACAGGGTGTAATATTTTGCAACCAATTTTACTGTTTTACATGCTGTATTTTTTACTAGAAATTCGAACCTATTTATGCTGAAAAAGTTAGGCCACATGTATGAAGATGTATTTCGCACACATGTATATATTCTATACACCTGTACATGGCCATCGAAAGTCATCCGACATTTTCTATCCCAATACCACTTGTATTCATTTTATTTCCTAAAAGTCTCCCAAACCCATGTTTTCAATAATTGATACATTTTTGAACTTTGTCACTAAATGAATAAAATGCATAGTGTTTCGATTAAAGAATTAAGGAATAAGCCTCTTGACGATGAAGATGTAGGCGGCTCTATGCCGAAATAAACTGTAAAGGAAAGCAGCCTCGGTATTAAAATGTGTTTCATCGCTATTTTCTTCAAAGGATGTTCGGGTTGTCTTTTCTTGCAGTAATATACAGTATTGTCCCGTTTGTTAATTATTACTTTAAAGCCTTCGCTTTCCTGAGGGCAAACAGAACAGTGGGAGCCGCGCGCTGCAGGGACGAGCCCCGGACGACCGCACCACGTTGGAGACACGTGGGGCGTCGGCACCAGCGACATCATTCACACACTGTGGCTGAGTGTCTCCCAAGCCCTGAGCCGCACTTTGTAACTAACGGGGCAGTGGGAGAGGCAGAGCATCTCGAACCCGAGTCCCTGCGTTAGAAACAAGGATGCATTTCTGCCCTACGTAAGGACACTGTCGCCTTTGTGATCTTGGCTCCCAGCCCCCGGCCCGAGTTTCTGCCTGAAGCTGTGGAGGGTGAGCTCAGGCACTGAATTTCCCCGGGATCTGTGTCTCTGCCGGCCGGATAGGGACCGGCGTGCCCTCCCTTTCAGCTTCTAGTGTTTTCCCTCCAGAAAAGATGAAGGCCGTATGTGCACACACAATAAATACTTAACCCTCAGCTGACGCCCTTCTGGTCAGCTAACACGTACGAGGGAATGTGTCCTCAGTAGCCTGACTGCCTTCCCTGCCGAAGACGGAGGGTGTGCACACGCCACCGGGTGCGCGTCGGTGTCTTTGGATTTTAAATATCCCTTTTCTATAGGAAATTCGTCTTTCTGCAAACCCACGCTCAGAGGACTGTGTGGAGCGATTCTGCCATGTGGTGGCAGCATTGCACCAACGTGGCAAGGGAGCCCTCGCCTTGCACCTGACACCGCGCAGCGGGCGGTCGGGGGCTCTGAGAGAGCATCGAAGGCACACACAGGACGGTTCCAGAAAAAACCACGCGCAGCTAAACCCACGGCGTTCTTTATAACACGAACTTAATGGTTGGAGTGTGACTTAATGCGAGTCTTCTTTCTAATTGCTAAGATCAATATGCGGCATGTGAGTTACACTATGAGCCAAAAAAAATCACAGTCTTACTCGTTCCCATCTTTTTCTTCATAGGTTATTTCTTGTATTTCAAACACATCGTGGGTTTTTCAATGGAATAAAGATCGAGCAGCCCTTCCATCTTTAGCTCCTCGTTGCTCTCGTGAGGAAGGTGACATAAAGCAGCACAGAGCTTCAATAATATTGAATTTGCATTGTGGAAATCCTCAGGCTGACTTTTACTGCTCGACGGGAATCATACATATTATCTGGGAATCAGTCCTATAGGGAAGAATGGAAAAATATGTTCATAAAAATTTCAAGATGCACATCCTCCAAGTAAAAGTGAAGTTTCAGGAAGTAATCTGTATTTTGGTTAAATAAGCTCTATAATTAATGAAATAAGTCAAAAAAATATATATCTAAGAGTTCTTCTCCACTGTATGATACTTTTTTTACACATAATGTGGGACAAGGTAGCTATTACTGAAATAGTCACCTAAGAACAATTTTACAGGATATTCTGGCTGTACAAGTTTATGATCAAAAATAATATTTTCAGAGACCGTGTCAGTTAACAATTGCCCATTATCAATAATTAAGTCCTAGTGGAAAGTGCTCTTGAGTAGAGCTGCCTGATGGCTCAGGTGACGGGGTTGACACCAGCCTGGCCGTGGCCAGGTGTGTGTGAGGGCGGAGACCCCCCCCAGCCTGCACCCCCAGGGACACACTTGGGAATGGCCAGAGGGCTCCAGCCACAGTGCCCTCACCTCCCCCTCTCCTTCCCTCTCCGTCCTGTTATTTATCACTTTTCCCAGTTTTTCTATAAAAAGAGAATGGAGAAAGAGGGGAATTGTCAAACCAGAATGCTTCAAACAAAGCCTTGTCTGGAAGAGGCGCAGGGACAGCAAAGGGCAGCATGAAAGGCGGGAGGCAGGTCGGACCCCCGCCCCCTGGACCCCTAGAAAGCCTGGCACGTTCTGTCTCGAGGATCTTGTCTGAAACAGCATTTGCTCACGGAGTCACTGTTTCTTCCAAAGATGCGGCTTGTATACCGTGTTTTCGGCTGTTGACATAATTGCAGTCAAAATGGAATATAAGGTTTGGCTCCTTGGAAGTCTAACAATAATCTGTGTTTCCATGGAATATTTCAATGTTTCAAGCATTTAAATGATAGGAAGCATAAAAATTTGAAGAAAAAATGGAAGCATCGGAGTCAGCTTCTGTTATAAAAAAAAGTACTTTTACAAATCCTAAGTCCTTGATCCACTTACTGGGGTTTAATTAAAAAAGAAAAAAACCCAAATAAGCAAAATCGCTGTGGTGGGAACTTAAAGAGCGTCCTGACGAAGGAGCTGTGCAGAAATGCAAGCCCCGTTTACACAGAGAAGGTGTGGTGAACCTCGAGGAGAATCAGAGCAAATGCAGAAGCGAGTACAGTTTTGTCACCGTGGCTTTAACCCGGGGGCTGGCGAGCGGTGACGGGGAGGTGGGCGCGGAGGAGCCGCGCTCAGTCGGGGCGCTTGGCCGCCCCCCGCGTGACAGTGGCAGT